GACGGGGCGCCCGGGCGGCCGGAAGGGGACTTTGCCTTCCTGGTGGCCGGCCGCCGGCCTGGCGGCGCCGGCTTCCAAAAGGGAGGCCTGGCAGGGCCATCCGGGGCGGGGTCCTGACGCTGGGGCCGTCTGGGGCCAGGCGGCAGGAGGTGGCCGAGCTGGGTCGAGGAGGGAACGTCCCTGTGGGGACGGAGCCTGGGGACTGCCCCCCTCCGCCCCGGGAATTCCCGCTGGGCCACAGGAAGGGGCATGATCCAAGCAGAAACTCCGTGACCTGCTCGCCTTAGGGAAGGAGTTCCTTCCTTAGGGGTCTCCACTGGGGCGGAAGGGACGGGGCGAGGGGAAATCGCCTGAGGCAGTGCCCTGGAAGCAAGGGGTCAAGCTGTGGGCAGCTCCTGCCTGTTCCTGGACCCCACTGGGTGACCTGAGCCAACTCCTGAGACGGCTGCTTTCTCTGTTGAGTGGGGTGACCCTCAGATGTCCCCACCAGAGCAGGCATCAGGAGGAGGAGGAGGTTTTCGTCTTCTCTGGTGCCTGGTGGGTGGGGAGCAAAGTGTTAGGAAGTTTTCTTCCTCCTCGTCATCACCTGGGATGTCAGGGCTCAGTTCTGGAGTGGAGGGGAGAAGTTTCTGACTCTGCCGGACTTGTAGGTCCTGGGAAGGTCAGAAAGCACCATGGAGCATCCCCCCGCCCCCCGCAGCGATGCCAGCTGCTGGCCAAGAGCACCAGCTCTGCACTTCGTTGGTTTGCCGTGCTTTGAAATCTCTTTGCTCCCAGTGTTGTGAAATCCCCCTGGTTTGTTCATGGAAAACCTCTCCTGCTGACATCTGTCAGGGAGGCTGCTTTTCCTTTTCCTAAAAGTGATGCAGACCTGGCATGTTGAGGAATAGGCCGCTTCTTCGTTTGTAAGAAAGTAGACATTTGCTAAAGCAGCCAGAGAGACACTGCAGTCTATGCGGAGGAGACAAAGAACTTGAGTAACTGCTAGTCTGCAGTGAGGTGGAGGGAGATGGGCCTCAACCCTAGAGATCGGGGTGTGGGGAGAGTCGGGGATGCCCTGGTTCTGTAGCTTACTCAGAGGCAGCCTCCCAGCTTCGAGAGAGCCTGCTGGGCCGGCCTGTTTTGCGCGGCATGAGGCAACTCACAAAAGGCCAGGTATTCCCTCACACCTGTAATTTCCTTCCAGGAGCCTGGGGTCACTGTAGGGGTCTTTACACGTGTGGTCCCGGCCCTGGGCACTTACCTGTGTGTGGCCAGGCTCTGACCTCTGTCTCACTCCCTGTGCACCCGCCCGCCCCCCCCCCGCCAGCTCTGTGGCAGGGGTGTGTGGACGTGAGCTGGCCGGCCGGGGTGTGGTTTGGCACTGGTGCCCCGCCAAGCCTGGGCCTCCTCGCCACAGGAGGGCAGGCCAGGAAGTTTGCTGCTAGCTCCCCCACCTCCCCTTCTGCCTTTTCTCCTGCTCTTGAACTCACAGCTTTGTCCACCCTCGCCTGCTGCTTCCATTGCTGAGTCTGCACGATCCTCTGAATTTGTCCTGGAGCCCCAGGCCGGGGCGACCCTGCCACCCCAGGCCCCTGCCCTGCCTTAGTAGACTAAGTCTTCGCAAAAACTGGGAAGGAAGCCTACTGGGATGCTGTGGGGAAGAAACGAGCTTCAGGGGTGGTTAGCTCAAGATATCTTCACCTGTGCTGGCCCGTTGGTGAGTGGAGTGGCTGGGAGTGGACGCAGTGAGCCCTGCAGCCAAGAGCCTAGTCCATCTTGCTCGCCCAGCAGGGTGGAGGTCGAGGTGGTGGCACTGGTTGCGTGGCCGCCGAGGTTGGCACTGCTGATGGGACCTTGTTCCCTCTTCGGCACGTCTTTCCCAGGGATGATGGTGTTGCGGGGACCCGACCAGGCTGCCATACAAAGTGTGATGTGTCTGAGCTGGGAGTGCAGGCAGGGAAGTGGATGTGTGGGCCGAAGTCCTGCCAACTGTGTCCCCAGGCCGAGCCTGTTTTTCCCATGGTGAATACCCCCACCCCGCTACCCCACGGTCCTGCCCCACCCGGCTCCCAGTGCCTGAACTCTCTGGCGGGGGTCTTCTGTCCCTTGGAGCACCCCCCAGGGCTCCACCCCACAGTGTCCTACCTCCACAGAGGGTCCGTCCTCACGCCCCATCCCCCTCATCTCCTGCCCGTCCTCACTGCTCTCACCTCAATTCTCCCACTCATTCAGCACTAGCGAGTACCTGCGGGGGTGGGGGCGGGGGCGGCAAGGCCCCCTGCGGAGCCTGCAGGTAGGTCCCTGTGGCACCACGGGCTCCTCACCTGGTGGCTGTAGACATTGCCGTGCGCCAGCACCTGCCGGCAGGTGGGGCACAGGGCAGCAGTCCAGGAGAGGCCCCACCGGTGGCTGAGGGGAAACATGGGTGGTGGCGGGGGATTCTGTTCCTCTGCAGAGAGCTGGCCAGGTTGGAGGCTTCTGGCAGCCTTGGGAGCTCTCTCTGGATGTTCCTCTGCCGCCGGCAGGCACAGGGCTTGGGATCTGCTGCCTGTGTGGCTTGAGTAGCTGAGGCAGGGCTGTGGCTCCGTGATCTGTGCATGCCTGACAGCTGTGAGCGCCTGCTGGGTGCCGGGCCGGCCCCCAGGAGTAGAAGTGGGTCTGTGCCCAGAAGGTGCCATGGCGTGTTGGGGACAGGACTGGGCAGGAGCTTGCCCGGGAGGGGTGATCCTGTGTGTGGGGTTGGTGGGGGATGGGCAGGGAGGAAGAAAGCTGGGGGGAAGGCTCTGAGGGGTCCACAGCCCGCAGTGAGCCGGTGGCACCTTGACTCCCATCTGAAGGCACATTCTGGGAATGGTGGCTGCAATGTGTCCACCGGGCACAGCGTGGGGGACACACAGACAGGCAGTGTGCTCACCCCGCCAGCGCCCTAGGCACAGGGGGGAGGGTGGGCCTGTGGGGCCTCATCCAGCCTTGGCCCCCACTGCACCCCCCATGGTATAGCTGGGTATGACCCCTCCCCTTGGCTCCTGGGGGACATGGCTCCTGGAGTCCTCTCGCCCAAGGGTGTGACATCAGAAGAGGGGCTGCCCTGCTCCCCAGGCTAGCTCTCCCTGGCTAGTCCTGGGCCTTCCCAGATGCTTGGGTCATACCAACCCCAGTGTCCCCCAGGGCTGAGCCCAGCACAACAGGGAGGGTCCTGCCGTGGCCTTTTCCGAGAACGGGGTCTGGTGCTCTTGGGGAGCCCCCGTGTGTGCTGGCATGGCCTCCAAGCTGAGCAGACTGGGGTGACAGTGGACAGAAAGGAAGAGGTGGGTGGGTGTATCACCATGGGTGGGGGCATGCTGAGAGCCAGGCCTGGGGCTGGAGGGTGAGGAGGAGGAAGCAGGAGCACCCCTGGGGGCTGGGAGGGGAGGCCCCCCGCAGGGCACTGGCTGAGGGCTCAGGAGGGCAGGGCTGGCCAGCAGGGCCTCACCCACAGCCCCTGTGGGAGGGACGGCCAGGCAGGACCTGAGACGCTGGCAGTTCTGCCCGCAAACACTGCAGAACCCTCGGGTGTGAGCGGGGGGCCCGGCCATACGGTCCCTGCGGCTGGCCAGTGCTGAGTCCAGCTCACCAGCTCACCCCTTTGGGCAGGGAGCTGGGGGAGCAGCTGAGAGCGCTGACTGCAGCAGAGGCACCCCCATGACATCATGGCAACATGGGGGGAGAGTGCTGGACCTGGGGGGTGGCCTTGACATAGTCACGTGGTAGCATCTCTCCCTCTCGCGCACCATCCTCGCCAACACCCTCACTTTAGACCCAGCGTGCTGACACCCGTGGGGAGGCCCTGTGTTGGGTGGTACCGGGCTAGATGTGGGGGATGGGGCAGGGGTGGCCCACCTTCTCCAGATGTGGCCCTTGGGCCCCTGATGGCAGCACGGGCATGCAACCTGCATTTCAGGGCACTCTCCGCAAGGTGGGCTGCTGGGCGCCTGCCAAGGTCTGAGCTGGGCCATCCCAGCCGCTGGGCATGGGGGGCTCCGGGGGATGGCGCCAGCAGCTGCACCCCTTTGTCAGGCCTGTCACCCTGTCTGCGAGCTCCAGTTGGGGGTGAGGCAGGCCCACCACAGCCACCTTGGGACGTGTCTGGCTGCCCCCCGATGGCGAGGCCAGGTGTCCTCTGTCTGCCCCAAAGTCTCGAGGCCCATTGCGGTGAGGACGGGAGGCCCAGGCTGGCCCAGGTCACCAGAGGATGCTGCCTGCCTGTGACCTGCTGTGGGCCTCCCAGGAGGTCCCTGGCTCCAGACACCCCTCACTCCCGCGCAGAGTGACCGCCAGCCTTCCCGCTCAGCCTCCGCATCTCCTGTGGAGGGCGGCACAGCCCTGCTCATTGTCCTCCTCACCTTCCGCCTAGGTGGTCTTCGGGAAGAAGCTTCCGGCCTTCGCCACAATCCCCATCCACCAGCTGCAGCACGAGAAGAAATACGACATCTACTTTGCTGACAAGAAGGTGTTTGCGTTATACAGGTGAGGGGGATGCCCTCGCTGGGGCCCCTGGGTCTGTGCCACCCGCATCCTGGTGGTGCTTGGTGGCTGTCACCCCGTGCTCCTCATGCCCCAGGTGGAGGTACAGCACAGAAGGTCAGGTTCCCACCCCTGGGCTTTCGCAGCTGGGCCTCAGTTTCCTCGTCTGTAAGTGGGGCTGCTGAAAGCATCCTCATGGGGTGGTAGGCAGGTGACGTGGATGACCTGGGAAACCCTCCGCATGGTACATGGCGCCTGCCTTCAGGCTCTGTGAGGGCCCCGAGTGAGTGCAGGCCAGGCTGTGGGTGTGGCGCTCTCCTGACCCATGGTGGGAGCACCCTGTGAAGGGCACAGCTGTCACAGCAATGGTCCTCGTTTCCCAGGTGCCCCATTGGCTCAAGGCCAAGCTGGGGCTTTGACCTCTGGCCCTGGGGGTGGGGG